AGAGTCTGATGGGGAAAGGCAACCGTAAGCATGATTGAAGAGGACGTCTAAAGGCATGATATGAAAATGGGGAAGGAGGGGCAAGATTGAGGGAGAGAGTTCCAGAGTTTCGGATGTAATGGCCGAAAGCACATTCCACCAATGGTGGAATGGAGGGTACGAGGGACATGCAGGAAGCTGGAGCCAGCCAAGAGGAGACAACAAGTTGTGGCGTGGGGAATAAGCACTTCGGAGAGGTTGGGAGGCTTCAGGGCATGAAGGGATTTATGGTCAAGTGTGACACAGAGGTGATAGAACAGTGCGACACCACCCACTGAGCACCAGATTTATAATCCAGTACACAGTGTAATGTATTGCATGAATCAGACTATAACATATTTGCTTACGGCACTCAAAAACCTGTTACAATAAATAAAAGACCTTCATTACTGGTTGTAATGAACTAAATTAGAAAATTTAAGTAGGTATATCAGTCTAGAAATCTCCAGTTTTCAGTCTGAGTAGACTGTAGTAACTTCCTTCACATCTCTTCATTCTTATTGACTAATTAGTGGGTGATATTATCATCTTATCCAGCATTACCATGCACTTATGTCCCACCTTTGCCCGCATACATCACATCGCACATGGCATTACCTTATTCATTAGGTTCATTCTTTCCACCAAGCACCTCATGAACATGGAGCTCAACACCCCTCACTTCCTTTTTCGCAAGTCAAACTAATGTAATACACCGGTTACCATCACCTAATCCCATCTTGATTCCTCCTTTTGCTACGCAAACTGTGGTGGTGTCCTTCTCTATGGGTCTCTGTTCCTTTCCTCCATTTCTGAATTTAAACAGTATGACCCCAGAGACAGTAATTGATTGTGACTTCACCAATCAGGGCAGTTATGTTATAAGCAGCGACTAAAAGGCACACTTGCAAAGAGAAAGTAGGCCAATTGCAAAATAAATCCCTCACATTATATACTCTCCTACTGTTCGTCTTTTCCTGCACTTTTCTTATTGTTCACTTGCCTCTTTAATTTACCTTCTAACAACCAAGCTAATTAATATCATCTGCTTTCTCCACCAGGAAAATAATCTGCCACATTTTCGTTGCCAGACAATCGTGTACATGGAATTATTCCAAAGATCCATTGTTGATTGTGCCGACTTTTCCCGTTCACATGAATGACCCATAGAAGTACATTTTGGTTGCTTATGCACCTTCCTCTGGTCGGTGTCTGCAAGGATCCAGAAAGGCATGAAACTGTTGATGAAAAGAGTACAAGAGCTCTGTTCTTCAAACCCTGACACAAATGATGGCTCCCCATAGTTCAAGGCCAACCCGTCCTGAACTGGTAACCCCTGTTGCTTCCCAACTCAAGGCTCACCAGAAAACTGTGACAACTTTGAAACAGATCACAGTAAGCAAATAGAGGGGCATAAGAGAGGGGAAGAGGAGGGATGAGACGCATGTGGAGTATAAAACTGGCACAGATTAGTTGGGCTGAACAGCCAGTTTCCATGCCATATCATTCTATGTAATTCTATGGAAGTTGATTCTCTATGGAAGTAAAAACGTATTTTCCCATTAACTGTATCTTTTGAACTATTCAGTAAACGGGATCACAGAAACAAAGAGGGAAGAAGTACAATGCAGTAGCATTAATAGAGCAATCTATTCTTTATGATTTAGATAAATGCATATAGACCATCTTTGGCTTCAATTATTCTACAAATATTTTTCTTTCAACTTCTCATGACTTTCTTCTCTTGTCGTCTCATTCTCTTACCTGCTACTGGATATAGTTCCATGGTTATTGGCCTTTATTCAGGTCTTAACCTGGTATGACAGTGAGTGTGGCCAAACTATTTGATCGTAGGAGGCAATACACCCAAGCCGTATCCTATTCTCACTCTCAACATCCTTATATATGCACCTTTGAGCAAATGTTTCTGAAGAGTGATTTGGAGCAGGAGACATAAATGAACCAAGAACACTGAAACCATCTGCTGGCCCAGTGAGATCAGTTAACTCAGCTCTGATCTAGCTTCAAATCTGGTCTCTATGTCCTAATCCTGAACCTAGCATTGCCTTTATTGGTCAGACCATTAAAGGGGCTCATCTGAATTTTTGAACAAAAAAACTCACAGATGTTTTCATCAGGTAACTTAAAAGTTATGGCCAATATTTATTTAAACATGTGCAATATGACTTGTTCAGGTAATTTTAAGATCCTTCTGAGATGTCCTCCTGCTGTGAAAGGCCCCATATCAAATACAGGGAACATTATTATTTTTAAACACAAAGATTAAAAGCACTTCAAAAAAAGATTTCATTAGTTACAGGTCAGGTATCTATGAAATACAGACTGCCTCTCAGGTTTCATTCTTACTTTCTTTGCAGACAACCATTTCACCCCCCTCACCATTTAAGCACATCCCAGACAATGTTCACACTCAAAACACATTCTTTCTTTGAAGCTGAGACATTCATTCAATTCAATAAAAGCATTCAATCTATGAGCCAATCATTCTTTAAATCTTAAACTTATTAAATTCGTGAAGGGGACGCAGCCAACTTTGACACTACAAGAACTGCTACATTAAAGACTGACCAACTCCTACACACCTTACTGTGACTGCAGAGAGTAACCTAAACAGGTGTTTTAAAAGTCTACTAGCTTCTTGGTTCTAACGTTTTTATGGAAATAGCAGATGAGACAATTTTGAAATTTGCACAGTACTTTCTACTGCAAAACCATACTAGTTCCTTATGAAGCTCACAGCCGTTTCAAAGATTGCAACATCTGATATTAGTTCAAATAATCTCTGGTCACATTTGTGTAAAGTTCAGAGACCAAAAGCAGATGTTGCAGCATAATTTCACCTCAGAAACTAACTGCAGTGTTAGTGTGCAACTGTTTGCAGAATTACTGAACTCTTAACTTTTTTTAAAAAAAACTGTGAACAATGACCGTGAACTCTCAAACCGAATCAGATGACCTTGCCCCTGGGCCTGAGATGGCCTCAGTGATAAAATCTTCTGAGTCATCAGGACATGAAGAAGCAGAAGACAGTTTGTTCAAAGGCTATTTTTTGATGGCGAGACACCAGTAGCAGCCCTTCCCCTTTATTGAGGAGTGCTTTTTCAACCTCAGCGTTCCTCAACCAATGTCTTGCAAAGCAATATTGTATAATGCAAATTAATCTCTGAATATGACCCCATGGAAACACAATCTTCTAAACGGACCAGCTAGATTAGATGGAGATATATGCCTTCTCTCAAACTATTACTTAATTAAAATATTCTTACCCACAAAGTTTCAGTAAACTTTAAAGTAACTCATTGCGTATGAAACACTTTAAGGCCTTTTGACGTGCTGATGTGCTAAACACAAGTATTCACTTTTTTTAAAAATCGCTTTATTCACAGGGAAATTTTCAGTAATAAACATTAATAGCATTTACTTATTTGACTTCATTTTCTTTTTACATCGTGGTCTGCTCATTTTAATAGATGTTTTTAAAATATTAAAAAATGAAAATTGCATTTACAAGATCATATATTCTCCGTACCACTGCAGACTCTTTTGCCATTTTGGGGGGTTTAAAATCTAATACTCGCACACCTTTCTCTTTCCCTCGGGTAGCTATAACAACTTGCATTGATATAGCGACCCTCGCTTAGAATGATAGAGCACCTCAGAAAGATGGAATTAAACTCCAAGGAAGGGAGAAGGGAAACAAGGAGATAACTATAGGTGTGGTTTAAGAGGTACATTTTTAGGCATGATTTTAAGATGGATAGACAGGGGACGAGACAGAGAGGTAGAGACAGACAATTCCAGAGGTTAGGGGCATAGTAACTGAAGGCTTGGTCACCAATGGTGAGGCAAAGAGGGCAGGCAATAGGCTCAAGGAAGTTAGTCAAGAGAGAGTGAAGTAAGAGAAGATCAAAGAGATAGAGCGGTGTCAGAGGCTTGACGGGATGTAAAGGTGAAGATGTGGATGAAATTAATCCATTGGGCGACAGTGGAGCATGGTGAGGACTGGGGTGATGGGCATTTGGTATCAGTAGGGATGCAGATGGCAGAGATTTATATAAACTGGAACCTATGGATGGTGGAAATAGGGAGACCAGTGAGGTCACAGTCTTCCTGCTAATACACAGACATTGCCAAAGCAACTGTTTAGTCTTCTTAAAAGTTACAGTGGCTCAGTAATGACATTCTCAATTGATCCGTCTTGATGATAGGGTGCAAGTAGAAGCAAAACGACTCCCTAAACCACAGGAGTTAATATCGGGAACTCAATAACAACAAATTTGAATTTCATTCCTCCTATATGAATCCCTCAGTGCAGATTCTTAATGCTTTGGAAACAATAGTAAGCAGGGAGCAACTTCTATTTTTTCATGGAGGATAACAACTCAAAGCACTTTACAGGTTGCATGGCAAACAGGAAAGAGGAGTGGTGGCCATAGAGAGGTAGGATGTGGTCAGAATGATCACTTAAAGAGAGCAAACAGTGGTTAGAAGAAACATTTTCACCCAGGAGTTTATCAGAGTATGAAATACCTTTCTGCCAGTGGCTATTGAAGCTAATACCATAACAACATTTAAAAAGAAATTGGATAAATGTTTGAAGAGGAAGAATATAAATGGGTATGGGGAAAGAGCAGGGGATTCACATTAGAGAATGATCTGGCACTATCTTAGGCTGGGTGGGCCAAATAGCCTCACAAGGATATTGATGAGGATATCCTAATGAGGATATTAATAGGGGAGAGAGAGAAAAGAAAGGAATACGGAGAAGATAATAAAAACAGAAGTCACTGGGAACACTCAGCAGGTCAGGCAGCATCTATGGAAAGAGGAAAGTGGATTAACATTTCAGGTCGATGACCTTTCGTCAGAACTGGGGAATGTTGTGAGGGTCATCGAGCTGAAACGTTAACTCACTTTCCTCTCTCCATAGATGCTGCCTGACATTGTGAGTGTCCCAGCGACTTCTGTTTTTATTTCAGATTTCCAGCATCTGCAGTATTTCGCCTACAGAGAAGATAAAGCTGGATAAAAATAATATTAATTCAAATCAGGGGGCAAAGAAAAATTAAAAGCATTTTTATGTTAACAAATTACAAACAGAAATGAGAAATCAATCTTAATTCACAGACAAGGTTCAATGCAAACAGATTAGTCGAACTACTTCACCATTCTTGAATACATTTTGAGTATGAGGCTTGGTCTAAATATCTTGTAGCACATATCTGTTTCATTTTACAATGGCCAACACAGACTATGTTGATATAACTGACTATGTAATAGTAACAGTACTTCTGGAACTCCTTATTGTGCAGCTTTAGAAACTGATTTGTCAAGTTATACAAACTCTGTGGGTTTAGGTCTTTTATGCCATAGGCTTTGGTCATGGAATATTCCAGCTTCCAGTCAGGTTTCTTCTCCTCATTAGCTTCTGTAAGGTTCAGGTAATACTGCCAGAAATCCTGTGAAATAAAAAGTAATGAGTCTTGTATCACTCATATCTAGTTCACCACATTCATTTCTAATTTTCATACTTTTCATAGCATTTTATGTCTATGCTAAATCATACATAAATCACTGATATAGCATTCTTGTTAACATTCACCTGCACATAAAGTTTGATCATCTTCAGTTCCTCAGTCACTGATAAAATGTGCTCAATTGGTTCAGATCGCACTCTAAATTATTTATCTTCCTTTTATTATGACACCTGTCCAAATAGGTTGACATCAATAAATATTATAAGAATTGCCATCAGCCAAGTCATTTATGAACAATGTGAATGGCAGGAGAACCACAACAGACCCTTGGAGAACAGTCTGCAAGAAAGATGTAGAAGGGTGCAAAGTACAAAATGCACAGTAACTATACTTTATCTAGGAATTTTACCTGATGCATTAGCCCATTATATGCTATATGACTTGTCAATTCTATTTATTCTGCAAAAATAGAACAATCACATCCATTACCATTCTTAACCAATAGTGTTCACAGCTGGCATTTAAACAGAAACTCACCAGTAAGCTGTAGTCATTTGTGCTATATTTAAATAAGCGAATGCCTGGGTTGTTTGTTACAAGGTCCAGAAATCCCTTCATTGGAGTTACAGCTGGTGCCACAAATAAAGAATTGACAGGATTTCCTAGGGTGAGCAAATAACAAAACAATGCAAAATATTAACTTGAGTCTTAAAATAAAAAGAATGTTTTACTGTTTTATTTATTTGCAAAGTGACCACCATTATAAGCAATTCATTATTGTACCAGGAACGTCTGAAAAAAATCAAGCACCATTTGCATTTCATAAAAGTTCACAATGCAAAACAGAAAATGAAGAAAATTAGTTATATCTGTCAGTATTTCATGAATGATTCATATGTCTAACATTGCCTTGTGATGTCCCATGACCTGGGCCAATAGAAAAGTTCGGAAATATTTGTCAAGAATTGCAGAGCGCTTTACAGATCTTGCCGGAAATTGTGAAGAGTTTTGCTGAAATTGCAGGGGTTGGTTGGTACTATTGAGACGCATTTTGCTGCTAACCTACATTTTTTCTCTTTTCTCATTTTTAAAGACTAAACATGAAGAAATAACACATCAGATTGAAAAAAACAATTTATTAATGTTTTCTTTAAACAGAACACACCTTTCAAAAGATGTAAAAGTGCAGTTTCAATACAGTTTGCAGAAAATTTAATTTTTCAAAATCAAAATTTCATAGCTACAAACAAAAAATTCTCAGCCAAAAGTTTAGTGCTGGTTAAATTTTAACATGAGAAGAATATGTATATTTTCTACTGTTAGGCTTTGTCTATTATCTTTGAGGAGGTCTGTATAAACAGAAAATGACCTTTCAACGTCAGCTGCGCTCACTGGTAGCCAAATATACCTTTTTTTTGCAATTTTAGCAAGTTTCACAACAACAAGGATTTATAATAGCGTCCTCCATGCCGGACGGTGTATCAGAGAGCTTCACAGTAACGGACCCTGGAGCCGAGCCAAGGGGAGAGGGAAGAAGGTGAGCGACGGCGCGGTTGAAAAGAAATGTCTTCAGCTGAGACCTGAAAATAGGAAGAGAGGGGGCGAGACAAAGGGAGTGAGGAAGGGAGTTCCAGAGCCTCAGGTCTCAGTGGCTGAAGGCACAGCCACCGATGGTGGAGCAGAGGATTCGGGGGACAAGGAGGAGGCCAGACCCGGTGGAGCGAAGGCAAAGGGCATTGTTGTGAGGAGAGAGGAGGTCAGAGAGGTAGGATGGTGCAGAGAAGTGGAGGGATTTGAAGACAAGGGTGAGGATCTTGAAGTCGATCCTCTCTAGGAGAGGCAGCCAGTGCAGTCTGGCAAGGACTGGGGTGATCGGGGAGTGGAGTTTGGTGCGGGTGAGAATGCGGGCGACAGAGTTCTGGATGACCTGGATCTTATGAATGGTAGTGGTGGGGAGGAGGGCATTTGAATAATCCAGCCGAGTTGACAAAGGCAGAGACCAGGGTTTCGGGGGCTTTTGGGGTGAGGTATTGGCAGAGACGGGCGATGCGTCGGAGGTGGAAGAAAGTGGTCCTGGTGAGGGACCGGATGTGGGGGAGGAAGGATAATTGGGGGTCGAACCTGACGCCTAGGTTGCGTATGGGTTCGGAGAATTTTAGGGTGAGGTCAGATAGGTGAAGGAGGTGAGAACCATGCGATTCAAGACGTTGACGAGAGCTAAAGAGTATGGCTTCCGTCTTGTCAACATTTAGCTGTGGCTCAGGCTAAGCTCCCTATCATGCTGCTATTTTGTGGTTAACGGGAATATTTTCTCCAGTTGCGTTAGAAGCATGCCATTCGAAGTTTGAAATAATTAAAAGGGCAGGAATCACATTATTATATAAGTCTTTTTCTGCGTCTATTGTTGCTAGCTGGTGAGGATCAAAATTACAAACTGCTTTATAGGCAGCAATTGATAGATGCTTTTTCAAAATCAGTCCAATTTTGACTATCAGTCAAAATCACCTTTTCACAGCTGTCTTGCATAATTCTCTGGGAAAGGTTGACACACACCTCTCTCACTCTCAGAACAGGCTGCCAACTTTTCCCATCTTTGATTTGTACTCCTGTGCTCCAGCAATAGCACAGAAATCAATAAACAAATGTAAATTTTGCACCCGTACATACAGATTGTGGCCGTGAGGCACAGCTATTGCCTGACATTTTTTAATGAATTTTATGAGCTCAGATGAGTGCTCTGTGACAAAGGTTGCTTGAGCTTGCAACTCTGCAGTGTTATTCTTCAATAGCTTTTTCATTTTTTTCCACAAAGGCAATTGTGATGCAATTCCTTGAAGAAATTCTGCCAAGACAGACAAGTACTCATATTCAACATCCTTCACCCAGGAGCACCAATGCATATGAACAGCAAAGACTGGCATCTGTGGTTTAATTCCATCCCAAGAACTGATGCCGGCACATTGAACTTTGACAGAAGACTTTCTTGACCATAGCAAACACTGTGTTTAAGTCCTCCAGTATAACAGGCCAAATTTCCAAAATCAGAAGATGGGAAATGTATGTAATATGTATTGCATTAGGAAATAATCCCAACAGAATTATGTTAAATGCTTTGATGGCACATCCTATATTTTATTTTTATATTAAAAAACTATTTTGAAGCATATCTACAAACATTTTTAGGAATCAATATCTCGACCTTTTCTTATACAAAAAAAGTTCTCTCACAAACTTCACCTATTATCAAACAAAAACTGTTGTTTTAAATGAGCAGTTCTAATATGTAAGTTTACACGCAAACCAGGAAATGACTGCAAACAACCTGAATTCATAAAGATGAAGGGGTGATGGAGGGTGAAGAGAAGAAAGAACTATTTGGGCACTCTCAATACAACTGAATAAAGCTAGTATTTGAGCTGGGTGGGAAGTGGTGTTTAGAAAGGGGAGGGGGAAATGTTGCCTATGAAAGGAAGTTAACCTGGAGATGGAGTGGAGAAGTGGGCATGGAAACATATTACAGGGATTTGTTGAATTGATGTAGGGATTCAGGAAGTCTCTATGCAGAGCTTCTTAGAGATAGAATAGTGGTTGGAATTCATGATAATAGTAACATTTGCATGGAGTATGGTGAAGTAGGCTTGACTTGGCCTTTCCTGATTCAAGCTTTCTTACGTGTCTGCTGCTGTCTCAGTACAGATCTGGGATCAAACCGAGGACCTTCGGCTCAATGACAGTATTGTAACCTTTGAAAACTATCCACCAGGTACATTATTTTCCATATGTGTGAGTGAGTAGCTGTATGCTCCTGTAGCTAATATCTCAGATATTACTACTTGTACTCTCCGTCAATCAACCCAGGTGATCAGGAAGCAAGTTAGAAGATAGGTTTGGCTGAATTACCAAATAGATTCCACAATTATAACTAATATAAATTCTGCTCAGGAGAACTGAGCATACATACAAATGTAAATTAAACAAAACTTCTTAAGTAAAGAAGTAGTGCCACTAAAAAGGAAGGCGTATTACCTTGCTCATCCAGAAGCACCATCATGCTATCCCGGTGAGTGTGACCAAAGAACTGGCCAACAATTACACCACTGTATTTACGCAGTATTGTCACCAACTTTTCATTGTCTTTCACTCTTATCGAAGTAGTTCTGAGCGAGTCTGGCAAGTACCCTGGAGGAACATGGGCTATGAGGTAAACCTAGGAGAAAGAACAATAAACCAATGATTACTTCCCAGTGGTAAAACAAACCAGCTCACATTTAACATAACACAGTGGGGGATAAAATGATGTGTTTCTTCAACGTCACAATGTTTAGTTGTATTGATGAAATATTATATGGCATTATTTCCACTAGCTCATAGTTTTCATTCCATGCCAATAATCAGCAGTATTTGTCCCTCTAATTGTCCCATTTAAACCCATAATAAATGAATGAAAAAATCTATTTCACTCACACAACAACAACTTGGATTTATATAGCACCCTCCACGCCGGATGGGGTCTCAGAGAGCTTTACAGTAACGGATCCCGGGACCGAGCCAGGGGGAGGAAGGTAACCAAAGTCGCGGTTGAAAAGAAAGGTCTTCAGCAGAGACCTGAAAATCGGAAGGGAGGGAGCGAGACAAAGGCAGTTCCAGAGCCTCGGGGCATAGTGGCTGAAGGCACGGCTGCCGAGGGTGGAGCGGAGTACTCGGGGGACGAGGAGGAGGCCAGACCCGGAGGAATGAAGGCAACGGGTACAATACTTAATATGCAACCACAGAATTAGTTACCAGTGAATCATGTGTTAAACTTTTAAAACAAATAATGTGCACTGTCAAACATGAATGAAACTCTTAGACATGTTCTTTTTGCCTTCTTAACATAAAATATACTTTGGGTATTTTAAATTCCACAATTCTAATGAAGATTTGTACCTTGTCTTTGTTTGCCTGAGCTTTCTTCAGTGTATCTTCAAGCCACTCGTATTGCCCTGCAGGGTCTTGCATTTTCTTGGTAATTTTATTGGGACTGTAGTACAAGTTTGTGTTTAAGCTAATTATCCGCAGAGTCTGTTTAGTAATTTTGCAGTTAAAGACCTGGGTATAGAAACCACCTAAAAGGGAGAAAAGGAACAGAAATGTGCATCTCAAGTGATAGAAAGGTTCAAGAAAAATATTTGAAAACACAAGGGCATGTGGAGTATTCACAAGATTAGTTTAGATGAAGAAAGCCCTTCAGGCTGTCCAATCTCATCCTTTAAAAATGCATGATGAGAAAAAATGCGAAGCTTTTGGTCAATTTTCAAGGAAAAATAAAATCTTATTGTAAAGGTGCAAAAACATTTTGGATGATTGACTGAAACAAGAGGACAATATTAATGATCATATTATTGGCAAAGACTGGAGAATAGAAAAGTGATCACACAAAATTGCTGACCGTGGTGCTGTGGCATCCTGTGTCACAGAGCACGCAGGTAGCCAAGTGGCGGGAACAAAATAAAGAACACAGACAAAGCTAAGCCACGGTAACAACAACAAAATTACATTTTTAAAGCGCCGATTCCTCCCACAGGAGTCCTCCCAGATGAATATAGATAAAGATGAAATGTATGTCCGTGTGTCTGTCTGTGTGTCAATCTACATTCCATATCAGATCCTTTGGTTGCAAGCAAAGCTGCAACGGGTACAGCTAGTACAATAAAGAGGTGGTATTTAAAACATTCAGAAATTGTAGTAAATTAGAAAGTGCTGCACTCGAGACTAAGATTGGTATAGGATAACATTTCTTAATTCATAGTAATTGCAGAGTAATTTTATTTAAATGGAAGATTAGATTGACTTTGTTACAGAAACATTACCATTATTTAATCATCCAAAGTGCTGTGGGGATGTAGGACCTCTGACAGCAACACATGCCAGTAGAACTCACTTTTGTATTGACACAATCTTTGTCATCACAGAGACTGTGTCAATCTTACAAAGCTGGGGTTTGCATTGGTCGTAAAAATTATTCACAAATGGCATGTCAATTCTTTACAAAACACTAGTAAAACCATAATAGGAGCTTTGTATCCATTTTTGTTACAACACTACACCAAATGAAAGAAGATTAGAAAAGGAAAAGTTGAAAACACATAACAACAACAAGATTACATTTGTATAGCGCCTTTCACGTCGGGAGGACTTCCCAAGGCGCTGGACAGAGTACAGCATTTCAGACCCGAGTCTCGCAGAAATGATGGGAAATTACTTATATTTTACACTAGACTGATGTTTAAGGTATATTTATATTTCTTAGATTCATTTATTTATACTAACATTTATATTTACATATTTATGTTTAAAAAATCAAGATATGTTTAATGCTTAAGATTTTTAATGTTCAAACATCTACATGGGTATTTAATTTTAATTAATAATAATTTATTCTTGAAATATTGGGTAAACCCAGGTTATTCCTTTCATGTAAAGCACAAAATTAGGACCAAAGAAAATGAATGAAAAGAAGAGAAAAAGGACATTTGGAAATTAAACTTTCCAAGATGCAAGCCCGTGTGAAGGACTCTGTATAAATGCTTGTTGTGGTTGTTGTTTCAGGAAGCGCATCTTTATTCAAAGAGTGATAAATGTTTGCATTCATCGATCATCCAGAAAAAGCATTGGAGTTAATTCAAAAATACTATTATAAGTTATGATCAAAGATAACATGGTAAAGGGATACTTGAATGGATGCTTTTTATATATCGTTGGTGCAACTGAGATACAACAAGAATTTACACTTATATAGCGCCCCTCACGCAGGATAGTGTCTCAGAGGTGATGTAAGAAGTAAACACAAAGAACAATCAGCCTGAGTGCACAGACATGACTTTTTCATCATTATGTCTTCATGTTTGTACATTTTAAGAAAGTGGTAGAGTAGTTTAAGCATAAAGTACATTTTCATATCCTTTACATGGCAGAATGTTTTGATAATAATACAATAACCCTCGCATTTGATATAGCACCTTATCGCGTCATTGAGATGTCTCAAAGCGCTTCACAGGATGCAAGTGGTTTGCCTGTCTATTTTGTGGGTGAAACTGGGGGTAGTTCTGTTGAAGCAGGGCATCTGCCTATGCTAGACTTCATAAGTTGAGGTGTTTGCTCCAAGAGGGATGACAGAAAGCTGATGGGATTTCTTTTTTCTAACAGTACTACAATATAAACCACTCCATTCACATCTTACCTTTCCGGAAAGTGCTAAGGGCATCTTCTGTTAACCAATGTTTCCACATATCAGCTGCTGCATTGTAAATCTCACTTGCAACAACAGGAAGCTGGTCCTGTTAAAATAAAAAAAAGTCCACATGGTTTTAACTTTTTTCTTTTTTGGGTTTATTATAAACCATTTCTCAACAATGCGATATTTGTAGCATATACAAATAGCGTATTGTGAGAGCAAATCAAAATAAAAGCAATACATTTGCAATACAAAGTCAAGAAAGGACATACAAATAGGCATGAAAATAATTATTGGTCAAGTTGTCAGATGCAAACCATATGCCACAGGAAATAATGTGAGCCTGGCTAAGTTGAAGTTGAGAACTACAGTATTTCAAAATTGAAAAAATATTAGGAAGTCCTTTCATTAAAATTACTGAGAGTGCAATTTGAGAGATTTATACTTGTGTTTTAATGAATGAGTTCATCTTCCACTAAAGTACAAGATGACTTTTTTTTAATACTGGCAGATTGAATGTTACATTAAATCTGTACAGATGAATGAGCAGCAACAACTGGAGTAAAATTTATATATCATACGTATATTTTGGCAGAAAATTGGAATCTACATGTACAACTCTCCACAAATGATTTTCAATACAAAACTAAAGTAATCCTTGCATTCAATATAGCACCTTGTGTCAAAACGTCTCAAATGCTTCAAGTTTTCTATAATACGTAGCAATAGTAAAGGTATTTTTTTTATTTAGGGGATTGCAGGCCTGGAACCTGGGAGAAATTCCTTCCCTTTTTAAATAATGCAATGGGGTCCTTACCATCCACCTGACCAGGAAGATAGGACATCAGTCCGAGAATGGAAGGTCATGGCTTAGGCTGACACTCCATCTCAGTACTGGGCCCAATGTGGGGCAATCTTCTGACTCAGAGGTGGGAGTGCTACCAACTGAGCCAGGCTGAATACTCTGGCTGTTGAGTCAATTAAATCCTCTGAATGAACCAAAGGAATATTCTATTTGTAGATATGGAGAGAATAATATTTGCAATTATCCTTCATTGATGTAATTTGAAGACACAAGCCCCTCCTCCTTAATTTCATGAATGAGAACCTATTGTATCATTTCTCTATTTTACCAACCAGTGAAGAAGTTACTTTATATAATAATAAAAGTAATAATCATTGCATTTGATAGCGCTTTACCCATCTTCTGGATGTCTCAAAGTGCTTCACAGAATATACTGTAAAGTGAATTGAGTGTATATTTGTAGGCGAATCACGGCAGCCAATTGCGCACAGCAGTATCCCACAAACAACAACAACAACAAGATTCCATTTATAAAGCGCCTTTCACGTCAGGAGGACGTCCCAAGGCGCTGCACAGTTGGGTCATGACCCGAGCAGGGGGGAAATGGTCAGGGTGAGGGAAGGGAGGGAGCAAGGAGGGGGGAAATGGTCAGGGTGAGGGGAGGGAAGGGAGGGAGCGAGGAGGGGGAAGAGAGTCGAGAGGGGAGCTGAAGGCACGGTCAAAGAGAAGCTCAGTCGTTGATTGAGTGACCAAATTGTTATTTTTATTTATTTATTCTTTGAGGGATTATAATCAGCGTGTGGAGTAAGGAAACTTGCCCAAGTTTTCGTCCTGGCGGGAATCAAACCCAGGTCTCTCGCTTGCGAGGTGAGTGCTCTAATCACTGAGCTATAGGACTCCTTGCAGTTGATATAGCTCCTTATCATTTTGTTGAGAAATCTCAAAACGCTTCACAGAATATACTGTAAAGTGACTTGTGTATTTTGTGGGTGAAATGCGGCAGCCAATTGCGCACAACAGTGGATTGAGTGATCAGTTTTTTTTTAAAAAAGGAATTATCCCCAAAAAGCAATCGGCCAATCGACTAACAACCGAGTTCCTACTTACTGCTAGGTAAACAGAGTGTATGGAGTAAGGAAACTTGCCTAGGGTTTTGCCCTGCCCAGGAATCAAACCCAGGTCCTCTTGTTTGCGAGGCAAGTGCTCTAACCACTAAGCTACAGGACTCCAAGTTGTCAGAGATGTATTCTGCCTCATCATGCCATCCATCCAAGTTAAGATATCACACCCAACGTGGTGACAGATCACTTATCATTTGCCATGAAAATGATGGCGCTTTGATAAAATGTTCTCATATTTAAAATACAAATTCTAAAAGTAACATTATAAGACACTGAACTTTTTATTTCTGATATCCCTGGTTTTTTAACATTGGAAATCAGAAAAGATTAAGCACAAATTGCCAATATGTATTGCTATGGCTTGCAGAGTATCCCATTGTAAGTCATTAACTTGAACACATAAAATGAAACAGAAACCATTACTTGTGGCCAGTAGTCATGGTTACCCATTGCCGGGAAAACCTGTAGATCTTTGAAGTTCTCCTTGACAGTTTCAGTCATATTGTGCATGATGTTTATCACGATCTTTGCAGAGAGCTTTGCAACTGCTACATGAGGAGGACTGTCTCTGGGGGGAAAAAACAAAGGCCGAATAGTGACACTGATCCTGATTCAGAGTAATCAATATTTTGACAATTAAACCGTACATAACGAACATAAACTGTACCTTTTCAAAATATTTTCTTCATTGTTTCAAAACACAAATAATGAGGGAAGCATTAAAATGAGCCCCTTCTTTAATTGAGCTTTTAATAACCACTGATTTGAATGGGAGGTTTCCTTCAGTCCAGATTGACTCTTATTTTCTTAGCATTTCAGGGCATCTAGAATTTGGCAAATTCTTAAATGCAGTCAAATCTGTTCAAGCAGTCATGTTCCATTCATATTCCCTATTAACAAATATCCTGGAACAGCTCAGTTTGCACACCAACGAAACCTAACTCAGGGGCCACCCTTATATAAAGGCCACTTTGGCCCAGTCCCCTCAGTGGTTGTTGAAAACAGTGGTCTTAATTTTGAAGATGGTTTTCCGTATGTTACTTTAACTACAGAAAAAGTTGTTGAATTCAATTTGCGAGATATTAGATGCTCTGAAATGCTAAGAAAATAGTTTTCTTAGCATTTCACTTAGGATTTTTATAAACACAATACAGAATTTTGAACTGTTCTTTTTCTATTCATTTTTATTCTGAAGGAGCTGCCTCATATAGATCTATTAATTTTGTTTATGTATCAAATATATATGATATATATATATAAATAATTCATACTGCATAAACATTGGAAATTTAATTTGATAAAGCCCATTTTACATAGAATCTGCAGTAAGAAAACAGGGCATTTGGCCCAAATAACTCATCCAGCTAATTTACTCCACATCAGGCCCCACTATCCCAAATACCACAGCCCTAGCCTCTCCCCATACATCTCTATTCTTTTCTCTCTCGTCTTTGCTTGGATGCGTTTCTCACACTATTTATCCCTCAGTCGGCATTTGCTTTTTTTTAAAAAAAGAAGGAATTTACAATTTTCTCAATGACTTAATGAATTTATTCAATGATTAACTGCATGAGTCCCAAATTCCATTGGCAGTCTGTGGTGAACTAGGTGATCTTAACCAGGGTGAAACTAGGGAGCGTTACAATTCACCTCAAAATCTTTAGGTTGGAATGGAGTGGGGGGAGAAAAACAAAATCAGCCTGGCTTCCTAATTCTGATTTCTATCCAGTGACTGAGCATTGATTGATCAACTGATTTGACTGTGAAATGGACAAGACATCCTCTGCAGTTAAAAAGTCTGCTGAAATTTACTGTAAAGCTCACGAATGAAAATGTGGCCAATATACTGGACGGTGACTTGCATTCATGGAAACGTATCCAGGTAGAAGGAAAAACTAGTCAAAGAAATAAGAGGGAGAACAATATTTTCAACTCTAGTGAGGTGGGAAACGATTATTTTAGCAAACTAAAGAGTTAATGAGGTGTCTGAATGAATGAACAAGATATAAGATTTATTGCCCTTGAATCTAACCTGATTTTAGATTATTAGGGAATGCATATCCCTAGCTTACTTCTCCTCCTGTCCTGTGAACCAGTCTTTACTCTCAAGTTTTTCCACCCTTGTGTTCATTACCAAAAGTAAATCAGTTCATTTCTATCTATTATCAACACGTACCCTGTCCATATCATAAAGGAAGGTTGGTGTCCAGCTTTAAATACATCTTTCATGTACTGAAAAGCAGACTGTATAAGACGGTATGGTGAATCACACCTATAGGCACCATAAGGTCCAGCATGTTTTGCTGGAAAACCTCTTGATGAATTGCAAACCTTTGTGGGATCATCTGACAAGTGGTAGGTAGGATCCAAATGCAAATCAGTAATATGCCAGAAATAACCTGGTAGAAAGNAAAAAGGTAAATTAATTAGTACTTCACAATGAAAAGTTTACACAAAACTTGTGATTTGTAATTCTAGTTTTGAAACAGATGGCTAAACATACTGTTGAGTGTAGAGATCTGAAGGTTACAGATTTGACTCCTGTTTTGTTTTCAACCAGTAGATCTTAGCCAAACAGCACTAAAGGCACTACCATTAAACTTAATACTCGTGATCTGAAGCAAAAACAGCCAATTTCTGATTCCTGATCCAGTGACCCCCGCATCCCACCTCCCAGAAAAGTAATATGGGTGAACTTCCATCCTCAAGGTTGGTTAGCCTTCACTCATTTGAGTATGCACACACATGAAGGTGAGATACTGGAAACCACCAACACCCTTGAAACTGTACTCCAGCAAGACGTAGGAGCTTCAGGAGAGCAAAAGTGCACGATAATAAATTACAATTACCACACAAGAATGTACTTGAAAAAAAAACTTGGTGGTCATTTATAACTACTTGTGTTGTTTTTGGCTTTCCAGTTGTTTGTAACTGATGGTTTATGCCACATATCACTATTGAATTAATCTGCAAATACACATCCCTAGCTTACTTCTTCTCCTGCCCTGTGAACCAATCTTTGCTCTCAAGTCAATTCTTGACAATACCTTTATCAAGATTGCATGAAAACATATCAACAGTGCAACATAAAGAAAAATATGTATCAACAACAACTTGAATTTATATAGTGCCTTCCATACCGGACGGCGTCTCAAAGCGCTTTACAGTAATGGATCCCGGGGCCGAGCCAGGGTGAGGGAGAGGAAAGTGACCAAAGGTGCGGTCGAAAAGAAAGGCCTTCAGCAGAGACCTGAAAATGGGAAGGGAGGGAGTTAAACGAAGGGAGTGAGGAAGGCAGTTCCAGAGCCTCGGGACATAGTGGCTGAAGGCACGGCCGCCCAGGGTGGAGCGGAGGACTCAGGGGACGAGGAGGAGGCCAGACCCAGAGGAACGAAGGTACTGTTTTGAGGAGAGAGGTCAGAGAGGTAGGGGGGTGCAGAGGAGTGGAGGGACTTGAATATAAGGGTGAGGATCTTGAAATCAAGAAATAAAAGAATTTAAAATGAAGACAGCAAGGAATTCAGACTAGGCTTTATTGCTCCTGAAGAGGACTCAGCACCTGAATAGGCTGAATAAGACAAATTGCCTCATGTACTGTAATTTCTATGAGTAATCAAATTTGACAAGATGTGTTAAACAGCAGCCTCCAACTCATTTTGTATGAATTAATATCATTATATCATGGAAGTATTCAAATGGAATCTTTCGAATTGTACATTGGATGAAGTATACTGGTGAAGCATAATACGCTGAATGAGGTATAGTAAGCTACTGCCATGATTGGGAATTCTATTTATATATTCTTTCAGGTGGTTCTTCAACTAATAATAGTAGTAATAACAATAGATAGATAATTCTTGCATTTGTTATAGTGCCTTTCACACTGTAAGGACATCTCAAAACATTTATTGTAAAGTGTAGTGACTGCGTATTTTGTAAATCATGGCAGGCAATTTGAGCAAAGCAATGTACAGCCATGAAGTGAATAACTAAATGCAACTGGGAGATTGTATTTTTTTTAAATAGTGCCACAAGATCTTTAATGTCCACTTGAACATGTAAACCAAACATTGGTGTAATGTCTCTGAATACAGCACACTCCCAGCACTACATTAGAATATCAGCTGGACTGTGCGAGTTCAATGGCCTGACTTGGGGCCTTAATGCACAACGTTCTGACTGAGAATGCTATCAACTGAGCTGGACTAACACCTAAACCAGAATCAGACTATTCCAATAAAGTCCATCATATTGTTGAGGCCATCATATGATTGTAGTAACCAGAAACCTTTGCAATACCTGATCAGCCTGGACTTGTTGTCTTTCTATTCAACAGGATAAATCAGTGTCTCAAGTGACAACTGCTCTATTGTGCTGCAGATTCCAACATAACTGATCAGAAGCTATAGAAGTGTAAACAAAGCTGCTTTGTGGTCTGTTTTAAAGTCCTGAGCCCTTATCCTGTAAAGGTAGATCCTGAACTACCTCCAGAATATGACTAGCCTTTTTTCAGCTTTATTAGACTGAATACAAATATTTCTGCAAATATGCTTGTTGCCTTCAAGGATTTACAAATTATTGGGCATTAATAGATATGTTCTGAAGGTCTTTATAATAATAATCCTTGCACTTGATATAGCGCATTATCATGTCTTCTAGACGTCTCAAAGTGCTTCACAGAATATGTTTTGTGGGCAAAATAAAGGTCAATTATCCTTGATTGGGAGAGTTATTTTAAGGTGTAATTGTTCTTTAACCCATTTTCTGACTAGGAGAGGAGAAGTTTTGGTGAAGGCAGCACTACTGTATATATACTTCCAGAAAAACAGTTGTGAAGATTCAAAGGCTTAAAATATAATGCGCTGTTGTTGTCTGTAGAGAAGCTTTAACTATTCTACTTATTCACTGTTAAGTTTTCAAATTTTAGTGAGTTACATCAATTAATTTACACCAATATTGCATTTTATGTTAAGACGTTAAAAACAAATAAAACAAAAAAAACCTTGCACATGAATTGTCTCCTTGCCCCCCACTCCTCTGCTCTTAATAATAATCCTTGCATTTGATATAGTGCTTTTCACGTCTTCTAGACATCTCAAAGCACTTCATAGAATAGACTGTAAAGTGAATTGATTGTATATTAGTGGGCGAAATGCGGCAGCCAATTGCACACAGCAGTGTCCCACAAACAGTCGTGGATTGAAGTGACCAATTTATTATTGGGTTTTTCTTGAGGGATTATTATCAGGCATGTGGAGTAAGCAAACTTGCCCAAGATTTCACCCTGCCGGGAATCAAACCCAGGTCTCTTCCTCTCCGCTTGGCTAACTTGGCCTTGCTGTGCATCTCCCACACTTTTTGTGCCACCAGCATGGCTGAGCTGACAGATTCTGTGTCCGTAACCTATGGAGCCCCCTCCTTCTACCCCTGCAGCTCCCCCCTGCCACCTGTCTTTCATGTGCTCTGGGATGCTCTCTTGTGTGAATGGCACTATTTAAATGCAAGTTATTGTTGTCCACAATATATTTTCATAGTGTAGCTGAGTATTTTTACATGAACTTTACAATCGCACAGCTTACATTCAGCTCACATTCTGTCTGGCCCAATGCACTTTGAGTCACTGCCAGGCCCATTCACCAACCTGGCTCCTGACTGCTTTAATTTTATAATTTAGTTAAATTTATTTTTCCTTTTCTCTCCACCCTTTTGAAAAAAAATGTATTGAAAGGTTTAGTGCTTGTGGAGTAGTCTAATGTTATATGCAGTGCAATTGAAACCAGTCAAATTATTCAACATTAAACAAATGTGTAGCAGTGACAGAGATTTAATGTGGTTTGCCTTACAGCTAAAGGCACGTAGAACATTGAGACAAAGCAGAAGTTGATGTTACAAAGTAATATCAAAATGTGCTGATTCACCAAAATCATTTCAGAACATTTACGAACAGTTACACCCACCAAGGACTTTCGTCACCTTATTCTGGCCTGGATTTGAACTGCAGGCCAGAGATGAAGTGATATGATTTCCTCCAGTAGAAATGCTCTACGTTCCTTTAACTGTAAAGCAAACCGTTTTTAACTCTGTCGTGAAAAGCACTATATAAATGTAAATTTGTACTGTGAACTTCGATTCGTGCTACTCATTTAAACACTCTACCTCTTCTAGGGACAACACGAAATATGAATAAAAATATGGACTTATGGATGTACAAGATAGGTTTTACAGTATAATATACTACCACAAAAAAGTCAATAAACCAAATTATACTTAAGTTCAGATGCAAAAATAGAAAATCCTAAAAAACAAGGCTGTTCACCCCTTACACACAAGAAACATTATGTTTCCATTCTATTCTCCTCCACATAATCCCATTCTCTTTCTCTAAAGTGCCAGTCTTCCTCTCATCCCACCAAATGCCAGCACTTTTCTCTCTCCACACACAGTGCCACACACTTGCTCTCTTTCCCCTTTAGTGCCACTCTTGCTCTCTTCTCAGATAGTGCCAGTCTTGCTTACCCCACCACACACACAGTGCCAGCCTTGATTTCATCCAATGCAGTGCCAGTTATGCTCTGTCCCCACATAACTTTTCTCTCTCCCCTCACACTACAGCCATCTTTCTCTCTTGTGCCTGCATACTTCCCTCCTAGCAGCAAATAAGTTGAGCCTGAGTCCATATGTATGCTCACATATTAAAATTTCTGTGTGTGGAATGTGCACTCTCTCACGAGAGGAAGGCACAATGCTTACTTTAGTCCAGAGATTATTAGGTGTAGGTTGGTCTGAGCCAAGGATGAGACATTTGCCTAAAATGGACGTTAAAGATTCCATGATACTATTTATAAACAACATAATCACTGGTGTTTAATCACTGGGGAAGAAACTAGTTTTGAATGGATGATTCCCATTTTATAATAATAATCCTTGCATTTGAGATAATTGGTTACAAAATATAAGCATAAAAAATTTAATTCATTCACTCCATTCTGTTGTCTATATAGTTAATGGGAAATGGACAGATTCCTGATTCGGTGGGGACTTAGAACAGAACACCAATAAAAAAAGCTCATTAAAGAACATCTAATAGAATTTACATATTGAGACGAGTTGAATTGATAATAATCCTTGCATTTGATGTAGCCCCTTATCACATCATTGAGACGTGTCAAAGCCCTTCACAGAATATACTGTAAAATGGAGCGACTTGTGTATTTTGGGGTGAACACACATTTTAGTCAGAAATTAATATACTAGAAATGTGTGTCACCCAGACAGTAAGTGTCAGCAGGTTATTTATCCTGTTCTCATCCCACATTCACTTGCACTATTTTCAGCAATCCATCACTGGAGAGCTATCAGTCGTGGGCACCTGAGGGAGCATGTCCCTAATCCAGGGCACTCTGGCCAACCATACCAACCCTTAAGAACACAGCCAAGGAATCAAACCTCCCCCCCACCCCCTTCTACCAGAGTCCTGCACAGTACTCGTTGGGCCATCAAGTGAAACATAATGATTTAGTCATTAACATAAATCTTGTTTCACCAAAATCCCTGAGTTGTAAATGCAATGATAAAAATGGTGCATTGAAATGTCACGTAACGAGAAGTGTTCCTTTAAAAACAGTGCGTGTAGCTGCATTCACGCCCAAACTACAGTGTAGGGAAGGAGATATTTTTGTTACTTCCGAGAGAGTACACAAGTTACTGAGTTTGCATTTTACAATACATGTTGACGTTTGAGACGATCGGGATAACTGTTGAACTTTTGCACATCAACAATGTAACAGTGTCTTAGTTCTGACAAGTTGTTCTGTGAATGTCACTCACCACTTCTGCGTCCTGATCAGAAACCAACCGTGTCAATAACATTGCATATGATTAGAGACCGTATACTGTGCTTTCTGAGACACCAGACAACACCCACCCAGTGGCTAACCTGCTGAACTTTGATACAATGCATAAAGCCTCCGCCGGGAGACTTTGTACCCAACGACACAGTTGCAAGTGTAAGGAGGGTCTCAGGGCTTCTCATAACCTGTGCTGGGGTCAGTCAGTCGGCAATGGCTGTGCTGGGGTCAGTCAGTCAGCAATGGCTTGCTATGCTGTGCTGGGCTCAGTCAGTCAGCAATGGCTTGCTGTGCTGTGCTGGGCTCAGTCAGTCAGCAATGGCTTGCTATGCTGTGCTGGGCTCAGTCAGTCAGCAATGGCTTGCTGTGCTGGGGTCAGTCAGTTAGCAGTGACTTGCTGTGCTGGGGTCAGTCAGTCAGCAGTGACTTGCTGTGCTGGGGTCAGTCAGTTAGCAGTGACTTGCTGTGCTGGGGTCAGTCAGTCAGCAGTGGCTTGCTGTGCTATGCTGGGGTCAGTTAGCAGTGACTTGCTGTACTGGGCTATGCTGTACTGTGCTGGGGTCAGTTAGCAGTGACTTGCTGGGCTATGCTGTGCTGGGCTACGCTGTGCTGTACTGGGCTATGCTGTGCTGGGGTCAGTTAGCAGTGACTTGCTGGGCTATGCTGTGCTGGGCTACGCTGTGCTGTACTGGGCTATGCTGTGCTGGGGTCAGTTAGCAGTGACTTGCTGGGCTATGCTGTGCTGTGCTGGGGTCAGTTAGCAGTGACTTGCTGGGCTGTGCTGGGCTATGCTGTGCTGTGCTATGCTGTGCTATGCTGTGCTGTGCTGGGCTATGCTGTGCTAGGCTATGCTGTGCTGTGCTATGCTGGGCTATGCTGTGCTGTGCTGTGCTAGGCTATGCTATGCTGTGCTGTGCTATGCTGTGCTATGCTGTGCTGTGCTATGCTGTGCTGTGCTGGGCTATGCTGTGCTGGGCTATGCTGTGCTGGGCTATGCTGTGCTGGGCTATGCTGTGCTGTGCTATGCTGTGCTATGCTGTGCTATGCTGTGCTATGCTGTGCTGTGCTATGCTGTGCTGTGCTATGCTGTGCTGTGCTGGGCTATGCTGTGCTGGGCTATGCTGTGCTGGGCTATGCTGTGCTGTGCTGGGCTATGCTGTGCTGGGCTATGCTGTGCTGGGCTATGCTGTGCTGGGCTATGCTGTGCTGGGCTATGCTGTGCTGGGCTATGCTGTGCTGGGCTATGCTGTGCTATGCTATGCTGTGCTATGCTATGCTGTGCTGGGCTATGCTGTGCTATGCTATGCTGTGCTGGGCTATGCTGTGCTGGGCTATGCTGTGCTGGGCTATGCTGTGCTGGGCTATGCTGTGCTATGCTATGCTGTGCTGGGCTATGCTGTGCTATGCTATGCTGTGCTGGGCTATGCTGTGCTGGGCTATGCTGTGCTGGGCTATGCTGTGCTGGGCTATGCTGTGCTGGGCTATGCTGTGCTGGGCTATGCTGGGCTATGCTGTGCTGAGTCAGTCAGTCACAGACCTTGTGCGGTGAAGGCCAGCGAGTTGCTGGCCGGTTGGCCGGGAGCAGCCCCCGCAGTGGCTCTCACACGGTCACCGCCGCTTTGCCACTCACCTGCAGCCCCGCCGAGGGGGTCCCTGGGCTCCAGCGGGACGGCGGAGGCGGCGGTCAGTGCGAGAGCGGAGAGCAGAGCCACGGCCCCGAGCACAGCCTCCATCCCAGAGAGAGATAGAGAGAGACACGGGCACCGCGTCACAAGCAGAGGAGCACGTGACCCCCCCCCCCCCCGGGCACCTTCTCCAGCCCCGGCCCCGGGGACCTGCACTGGGGGGGCGGGGGGGCGGGGGGGCATCTTAATGAAGAGTGGGGCATTGGGAGATCAATCCAAGACTATTGCACCGTGTCCTCCCTCTTCCTTCTAATCTCCACCCCCCCCCACACACACACTCACACACACACTCACACACTGCAAGAATGCACACACAGTAATAATAATAATAATAATGTTGTTATTATTATACCAGGAATATGATGGGGTGTTGTTTCCTATTAGGTTTGCAATCCAAGCGATTACCCCGGGATTCCTATTTGCACCGGGGGGATTTGCTTTCCTTTTTTTATTTCAGATTAATTTTTTAAGGCTTTTTTGTATTTTTTTTTAAAAAATATATATTTTTTTTTGTTTGGTTTGGGTTAAAAAAAGGCTTTTAGCACTACGAATCAAAATAGAAGCGCCCTGGTCTGGTTAAACTAGTTGGGGGGGGGACCTCTGCTCTCTTCCAGCTGACCCAACTCACGCTGCTGGAAGGGATCCCAGATCACAAGTGCTCAACGAGGCTTTGAAGAGCTTTGCAACAGCAGCAGGTTTTGCAATTCTTACCACAGGTACACTGAGGCTGTATCAATCCACTCTTTTGGGAAATGAATTAGATGGACATCTACGATTTAAAAACGTGAAGGGATAGGCATAAACAGAACTGGAAAGTCGGATTGATAGAGGATCTAAACAAAATAGAGATATGTGGGAGAGCTTTTGTGTCGATTTTTTCCCCCCAGCAATCAAACGTAACCTAACTTGGAAGCCACAAAACTAGTGTCTTGTGTGTTCAACATATTTCGAGTGACCCATCCCCTTGAAGATGGTCATAACTGTCCAAACGTGTGTGTGTGTGTATTATATAATATATATACACACACGCTTGCTTTACACATTTTGGGCTCGAATTAATCCATAAAAGGAAAAAGTTCCCAGGAGGGAATGCCAAACTTTTTTGTAGCAATTACCTTTTCACATTAATGCAGTCGCATCTCTTCATGCCACAGTTGTTCAGTATAAAATGGGAAGCCCTGCACTGAAATGTGAACAGATTAGATGTTGTGCTTTCTCAACCCATCTGCAACCTGACCATTTTCCCAGGTAACTAGTCTGAATAATATAAGAGAGCACCTGCTCCCAGCCATTTGATCTAAAGGTTACAGACAGACACTATATTCACTGGATTGACTAGGAAGTTAGAAAAATGGACTCAATTATTAGTAAAGTTTAAAGCTAATTCTAACGCCTTAACTAAGCAACAAAACAAGGCTATTTATTGATCAAACACGTTTCAAAAAGAAAACTATTTAAGAACATTATGATTTAACATAACTTCACAACTGATCAGTTCCAGAGCAAAACTTTATTAGCCAATTCGTCGTTGCGACACGTACCTCCAACGCTCAAGTTTTATAAAAAATAAAAAAAAAACGATAAGTGATTTATAGATATTACAAAAAAATGTTATTCGGTTAAACTTACAACAAAAAACAATGCAGTATTTCGATCTTGTTACAGAGGTTCAATAGAGTGGCTCCACCAATGGAAATTCCTGCAAACACCACGCAGGGAGTCACAGTAAATGCCATACAAATAGTCGCTCCAGATTTTCAAACACTATAGTTGAGTCCAGTAAACAGGAGCGGATCGGCTCTGACGAGGTTCGGAACATTACGCTTTTTCGTAGGTACGAACAGCGACAATGTCACCAAATGTGAGGGTCTGTTTAAAAAAAAAAAAAAATTTTAGATAAGGGTTAAAAAAAAATTAAACTCCGGCAACACATCAAACAGGATGCAAATCGGGACGTTAAGTGTGCAGGTTGACATACCATAACCATTTTGTCATCCTTGATCTCTCTGACAAAGGTGGTTTCCTTCCCGTCCCACTTCTGCACATGGACAAGTTTGTCATCGTCCAATGACACCGTTGACTGGTAAAGCCAGAACAGAATGCAAACTGATCAGTAAGGAGGCTACGGATTTACAGGGGAAGCTGAGCTGGTCTGTCTGGCTCACTGTGCTGGTTGCATAAACCAACACTACCATCTCAGTAACAGTTTTACATCAGTGCTGGCGCGACGTTGCAACGTGTAACACTCAATAACCAGCAGCTTTGATTTACACCATCGCACGAAGTAGATGTTAAGCAGAACTCGTCAACCTCTCTATTTTAGATGCACCATTCTCAACTTAGCCAAAGATACCCCCCCCACACCCCCACCCCACCCCATCCCGTGCACTCGTGGAGAAATGTATGCACATTAAAGCGGACTGTAAAAGGGGCAAAAATAAATCAATTTTTTAAAAAAAGTTTACTTTGCAGTTTCTGTCGTCCGGTGTACTCTCGTCGAACTCTTCCCCGAGTTTGAAGCTGATTTCGGTGTTTTTGAAGGTGCTCTGAGTCTTGATCACGACCTTATCCCCTTCTTTGCTGATGATGATTGTAGGTTTGGTAACATTGCCCACTTGCCTCACAGCGAAACCAACACCTGGCAGACAAAAGTGTGAAAGGGTTAAACGTGGCACTGCGTTCAGAGCGAAAGATGGAAATCGAAACCCTTATATATATTGGATGTTAATATCATATACCGGTGGGACATCAGCGGCAACGCGCTGACACGGTTGCAAAAAGAGCATCTCAAGCACTTATTCCCTGCAGCAACAGCTTGTACAACCCTTAAGGCAGAGACCGAGAGGAGTTCAATCTGCTCCAGAGATCCCATAATATATTCGAAGCCCCAAAAAATATATATATGTGAATGGGGGGGGAGGGGAGGGGGGGGATCCCTCCCTTCAACACGACCACCGGTTTAAATCACACTGCAGACACGAGGCTTTGGATGGAAACCGAGTCCCCGCGTTAATTGCGGGCGAGGACCCCTCGGTCCTGGGGGGGGGAGGGGGGGGGGTCTCAGCGCCGTGAGGCTTACCCAAGGCTTTCATGTACTCGTCGAAGTTCTCGCTAACGGTGAGTTTCCAGGTAGCAACAAAAGCATCAACCATGGTGGCGGGGAGAGAGAGAGAGAGAGGGGGAGAGAGGGAGAGAGGGAGGGGCGGGGGGTGGAGAGAGTGAGAGGGTGTGGAGAGAAAGAGAGAGAGTGAGAGGGAAAGAGAGGGTGTGGAGAGAGAGTGAGTGAGTGGATGTGGAGAGAGAGAAGGTATAGAGAGAGAGTGTGTGGAGAGAGAGAGTGAGTGAGTGAGAGGATGTGGAGAGTGAATGAATGAATGAATGAGTGAGTGAGTGAGTGAGTGAGTGAGTGTGGAGAGAGTGAGTGAGTGAGAGAGTGAGAAGGTGTAGAGTGAGTGAGTGAGTGAGTTGGTGAGTGGGTGTCTCTGTCGATGGAGACAGTGCAAAAGCCCTGAGAGCGACTCGGTCCCTAAATACACGGGGGTGACAGGGCGGAGCCGCCGGGAGAGCGGCCGTGAGGCGGAGACTCACATCACCAGGTCCTGGTGATAGGATAATAATATATTTTAAAAAAAATAGCTGACCTGACCGGAGACCTGTTGTGCTCTCAGCCGCTGCGAATGAAAGCAATTCATTTAAACGGCGCGGGGGGGTCCAAAAAAAAAGGAGAGGTGACAGGAGGGGATGGGGATGAGCCCTCGAGGCTGAGGGCCATCACACAGTCTGTTGCACAAAAAAAAAGTTAATAACTCGTTGCAATTAATCCCCTCCACTCACTCACTCACTCACTCACTCACTCACTCACTCGGGTTTCCCCCCCACGAACGATTTAATTTAGTTTATCATTTCGAGTTGCACGTTTAACAGCTCCGATTCCCGAGTTAACTTTCTCTTGACTTTTGTTTTTTTTTTAAAAAAATACACACCCAGTAAGGAACGATTTAATAGTTATAATCTGAGCAGATGTGAAAACCAATGCACCTGTTTATATATGTACATATATCTGCTTTTATGTGTATATATATATATATATATATATATATATATATAAAAGCAGATGAAGGCAGTGAGGAGCAGATCAAAGCTTAACTGCGCGATTAGGTCTTTACAACGAGATAATAAATTGCTCCTTAAGAGACAATTACAGGGTTTGCGTGAGGGTCCCTTCTGCTCTCTCTCTCTCTCCCTCTCTCCAACTCTCTGTCTGTCTGTGTAAATCTTTTGTCAATATCCAATAATCCAGATCGAAGAGCAAAAATAATTCATATAAAGGATCCAAACTTCTCACTCCTGAAGATGAATGACCTTCTGCTGTGCCCAAACCAATGGAAACGTGTGAAACGCCCCAACAATGAATGAATGAATCAATGAATCAATGAATGAAACCACAATTCTCTTTCTTTCACACACACAACACACACATTATTATTATTATTATTATTATCATTATGTCAACTTAAGGAATCGATTCAGAAATCCATGTCGTAGAAAGAGTAGAAAGCTACGGCTTCTTGCAAACACTTCTCTCTATTCCTGCGGATGTATTTATTTCAGATTTCTTTCCATTTGAGCCTCATTGCAGTCTTAATACTCAGCCTCACATGATAAAGTCAAATGTTAACCACAGCAAAAAAAAACAATCAAGTGACCTGACACTGAGGACCCCCAAACCCTTCCTCCTCTCGCTGTCCTGAACAATTTGGACTTGTAAGTCTGGGTGACCCGAAGAACTAAGGGCAGTTCATTTCAGATTTCCAATACAATATTTGCAGAATTTATTTTCATCTCTGTCAGTGTCCTGTATAAGTACTGTATAGAACTTAGCTTGGAGTACACAACACGATGTACTTGCAAATTGAGGGAATTGGCACATAATTGTTGGTTATCAAAATGATAAGATGAGGTGAATTGTAGTGTAGTGTCTGCAGGCACCTTGCCAGGTGACACATATTACCTAATACTTTAGATAGAGAGCCAGTGATCCACTTTATTCATTGCAGAAGACATTTCGAATCTCAAGGCAGTTACTAAATGTTACAAAGGCCAATGTGTTTGTCATCTTCCCCTTCTCTTCCTCCTAACTCAGCATCCAACCCCACCATTCGACAGCGCCAAGACATTATTCTACACAAAGGGTTCTATGTAAATGCAAGTTTTTGTTGTTGTAAAAAGACAACTATTCTTGGTGGAATGAAGGGGAAAAAAAGTTGTTACGGTTTGGAATGCACTGCCTGAAAGGGGTGGTGGAAACAGATTCAATAACAACTTTCAAAGGGGAATTGAACAAGTACTTGAAGAGGAAAAATCTGTAAGGATACGGAGAAAGAGTGGGGGAGTGGGACTGATTGGGTAGCTCTTCCAAAGAGCTGGCACAGGCATGATGGGCTGAATGGCCTCGTTCTGCTCTGTAATATTCTATGATTCTATGAAATTGATTGACAGTAGCTCGGAAAAAACATGTGTGCAACATTGCTGATATTTGCATCATTTTTATATCAAGTCAACTGCCCTAAAGTATACCTTGATGTAGAAATTGTCTAATTGGAGCTTCATCCATATGAAGTTGCAATTAGGTTGTCTAATCGGAACTTCATCCATATTATATGCCCAAGTCTCTGGCAGCAAAGCAGAATTAGTTAATCAATTTAGTTTTGTCAGTAGTCATTAGTGTATTGACCAGCAAAGAAGATGATGGATAATAATAATCCTTGGATTTGATATAACGCCTTATCACGTCTTCAAGATGTCTCAAAGTGCCTCACAAACAATTGTGGATTGCGTTACCAAATTATTATTTTTATAGAATATAGTATAGAATATTACCCCTGGAAAATTGATCTGCCAATGGATTAATAACTGGGTTCCTACTTATTGCTAGGTGAACAGAGGCCTATGGAGTAAGGAAACTTGCCCATCGATTCGCTCTGCCCGGGATCAAACCCAGGTTCTCCCGCTTGTGAGACGAGTGCACTAACCACTAAGCTACAGGACTTCTTGGATTGGATCAAAATGCATATATATTTAAAAATAAGTTTAACTAGTGGATTCAAATGTTTAGGCTGTTAGGTGGTTACAAAATATAAGTCCAAAGAAATGTAATACATTCACTTCATTCTGTTATCTATATAGTTAATGGGAGATGGACAGATTTCTGATTCAGTGAGGACTTGGAGAGGAGCACACTGAAAAAATGTTTATTAAAGGTTTTCTAATAGAATTTAAATATTGAGATAAGTTGAATTGATAATAATAATTGTTGTATCATAAAAAGTTGATTAAAGCAATGAGGGCTAAATCAAAGCTTAAATGCACGTGACGCACCTTATCACGTCTTCAACGCGGTGTGAAAGGTTACAAGAACCTTTCTTATCCTTGTATATTTTTGTATAAATAATGTCTCAGTCTGTTTTATTGGTAGCACTCTTATCTTTTATAGTTGTAAATAACTGCAAAACTAATTCCTTTTTGGTCTTGTGCCTTTTTCAGCAGATAACACAAATTTGTAAATGATTAAAAAGATATTGAGGAGCAGCAGGACACGTACTGAAGTCACAATTAGAGGGAAATGCAGCAATGACATCAGCTTAAATCTTTGGGCGGTAATGATAGCTGCCTAATTGAGTAAATTGAAGGAAAGTAGTAGACTAAAGGTATCAGGTGTTCTTGTATAAATCAGAGGAAATTCAAGGTACTACTTGCAATCCTGGGGAGCATTATAGATTCCTATTAAATGAAGCATTAACTCAAGTTAATATTTTTGCTGCATCAATTAAAATATTTGTAAAGAAAAAGTATTGAATTTGAATTGGGGAATGTACAACATTGGTACGGTGGATAACATGTACATGATAACATGTTGCCCACAAAGTTGTCTTACCTCCCCGCACCCCCACCCCGCTTACAAAATAGAGATATGAGAGTACAGAGGTGCTGAAACAAGCTGGCATCTTTTGCCTTGTCACTCAATCCATGTTATAGAAGTGTTGCTCCGAGCATAGCGACGGATCATTATCTGCCATGAAAATGATGGGTTTCACACTGATCTTCTAGACGTCTGGATGAATAAATACAGTTAAACACTTGTACTGAATACAATTAAGTATTTCTAAAGACAATTATCATGATTCTTCCACATGTGTCAGGTGTTGGTCAGTGCACTGTAGAAAAAAGCATACATTGGACCAACTGTACATGTTTCTCACATTAATTTAAGGTTGTTTTACATTTGCTAATTTTGGAGAGTATAATTACTGATGAGGATTTGGACCAATATAATAAATAAACAACTGTAATTAAGAATTAAATGTGGTGTTCAGGAGGAATAATATGGATAATTTGTGTTTAGGAACTGACACAATACAACTTGCATTTATATAGGGCCTTTCGTGTCAGGAGGACGTCTCAAAGTGCTTACAAATGCTTCTGTTCAGGTGGCTGGTATGGTAAATCTGGATATTAGATATGATCCAGTACTTTAATAATGATTAAAGCTATTGCAGAAATAATTTAGTTGGAAAGCCATCTGGAAATCCATTAGAATACAACGTTTTGCAAGATTGAAACTTCTCCCTTTTTAATATTCAGATTTCCATGAGTTTCTATCTGTTCAACAATTCCTGGGAAACAATATATAATTGAGCTGGTTTGCAGCTCGGTAGAAAGTGTAGATTCCAAGTTGATTAAAATGCTTGGAATACTTCATTTGGAATCCAGAGTAATTAAAGCTTCTGAACTGCAAATCTTAAGGATTTCTTAGGACTGCTGGTGCTGTTGCCCCACCGTGAGTAGGTCAAGGTACAACCAGCTTATTACCATTTGCATGGAACCATGCCTTCATGAAGCAAAACACTGATTCTACTTTTCCTATTCAAAGAATATTGCTAGTCCCATTATTTATTTTGTGAATTCTAAGTATTTAATTTTACAATGAGACGAGGTTAGTAAAACAATGGCCATTGAGTTGTGTATACGTGGAATTAGATTCCCAGCAAAGCAATTAAGATTGTATTACTTAATCAACTACTTTTAAAAAAAAACAAGGAGTATTCTGATTGGGAAAGGCTTTGGGGGATATGGGGAGAGGTATGGATTCAGATGAACGAATGATAATGATCCAAGGGATGTTACTGGGACTGAGAGTGGAATAGGGTCGTCTGTGGATAGTAGCAGGTTAGTGTGCAATGGTGTTGACCTGGTGATGGATGAATATTCTGGAGTTTTTGGAGTGAAATCCATAATGAAGTAAGGTGCACACAATCTGTGGTAATAACAAATGTTTTGTACTGTATTGTTCCATGTGTCCTTATGTTCCTTTCCTTTTCTACTTTTGTTAATGGATGCTATTGATCATCCACAACGTTCCTGCTTCAATGTGTGTAAGTCATAAAAATTCTTCTGTTATTTCTTAGACATTCCGTTTAATTATAGAAAGGATATTAAAGCTAAGGAGAGGATGCAGTGTGGATTCATAATAATAATTAAAATCCTTGCATTTGATATGCCGCCCTTCACATCATCGCCATCTTAAAGTGCTGCACAAGATTCATTGTGATGTATAGTGACTGTATTTTCTAGGCAATGATGATACCAAGGATGATACTGTAGATGAAAAGCTAGATGATAGCTGTAAGAAGAGTTGGTAAAACCCAGGTTGAATGCTTTATGTGGGTTTTGTGCTCTTTTAATGATCATTAACCACATCCTGTGAAATATCCTGTGATGCTTAGAATAATTGGTCTACAATTTCCATATCCATGGCTTACTTCTGTTTCAGGTTCATTTTCTACTTTCACTTCCCACTTAATTCTGCTGAGAGCTTTTCTAATAGGTCTACAATTTGCTGTATTGAAGTGTTACATTTCCTACTTGTAACTTTATTACAATTTGAAATTCTACACAATGATCACTAAATGTTAAATTGCTCCAATCAACTAACTAATTCGTTCAGGAGGACAGATGAATCTAATACATTCATAAAATCACTCCTATGTTATGTTAAACCAAAAACAATAATAAATTGGTCATTTTCAATCTACGACTGTTTGTGGGACATTGCTGTGCACAATTGACTGCCGCGTTCGCCCACAAATATACAGTCAATTCACTTTACAGTGTGTTCTGTGAAGCGCTTTGGGACATCCTCCTGATGTGAAAAGCGCTATATCAAATGTAAAGGTTATTATTATTATGTTAAGGAGCACAATAACAAGTCATAATTTTAGGTAGATCTAATCTTGTCTACCAATTGTACTAATTTACCAATTGGTTGATTGTGTTAATCTAATTTCCCACCAGATTCTTTCAATATAAGTTTCCCTAAATCTCTACTCTACCCCAATTTTTTTTAGTTGACAGGAACAGGCCAAGTTTGTTTATCACATCTTTGAGATGTCTCAAAGCGTTCCGCAGAATATAATGTAAAGTGAATTGACGGTATATTTTGTGGGTGAAAAGCGTCAGCCAATTGCGCGCAGCAGTGTCCCACAAATAGTCGTAGATTGAAGTGACCAATTTATTATTATTATTTTATTGCCTTTATGAAATTGTGTATATTTTCACTTTCTCCTTCTGCTTGTCTTAACCCATGATATATTCAAACCATCCTCCTTGAATTACTGTATAATTTTATCACTTTTGTGCAACCTCTTATGATCTTTCTGCTTGTATTAAGGTGATGGTGGAAATGAATACATATAGTATTACTTTGTTGTCATATTTATTATTGATTTACACTCACATTGTTTCGATTCTATCCATAATTCTATCCATTATTTGTATCATCCTATCACAGTAATTCCCTCTACCTTTTTTTACATGTCTATCCATTCATCTATTTCAATCCATACCGATATAGTTCTATTTCTTGCCTATCTTTCATTGAATTGGCTCTCATTAGAATAACACTAATCCGGAGAAATTTTAGCAGAAATGGAGTTTGCGTTTTATGGTTAAAATAATCATAGTTCTAAACCATACAGACAACCTTTAAGAGTTAATGTTGAAGATAAAATAACCCCCAACAATCTGATAAATGCACACCTGGCCACAGAGAAGATGAGCAGTCTGGAAGAATGAGATCAAACGGGCCTTTTCCATTCAAACATTTCTTTGTGAACTGTGTTAGACATCCATTATTTTTGTCCTATACTCATCATTGGAATACAAAGATTACAAAGAATGTACAGGACAGAAACAGGCCACCCAGCCCAAATGTGCCGGTGATTATATTCCACATGAGTTTTTAACCCATTCCTTATTCCCTTCCATACCCCTCTATTCTGCTCTCTGTCATGTGAAGGTCTCACTTCCTCCATAGTAACACAATATTAAGTCATATTTTATCACTGATAATTTTACACCCTTGTACGATTACAAACTCAAATGTGTGATGTATTTCATACAGTTTCTCATCTTGACGTGTTGCAGTAAAAACACTTCCGTCTGAATGTGAAATTATGTGGTTTAAGCAAAGGGGGCCATCTGGTGGACAAACTCTGATTAAGACAGTGTTGACCGACTACATACAGGAGCCTGACAATAACTTTGGAGTAAGTAATAATTGATATTATCATTCACAAAATCACAAAAAGAGGATTGGATGAAGAAAGCTGTTTAAGATGAATTGAAAGTATTGATTTGAAGATTCTCACTGTTACTTTCAAATCTCTTCACACCTTGGCACCTCCCTACCTCACCTATCTGCTCACAACAACGACAGCATCTATACAGTGCCCTTCACACCAGATAGGATCTCATAGTGCTCACACCCCACTTCTCTACCCATTGCCTTCACTCAATTAGCTCTGGTCTTCTGCACAGCCCTCATCCCCTCTGCTCCATAAATGACCCAAGTGCTTTCAGCCACTATGCTCTGAATCTCTGGAATTCCATTGTTTAATTCTCAGCAATAAATGCTTTCAATCAGACGATCCTCAGGTACCAGTAAAGTCAAGCATACCCTGCATTCTTTATTGACGGAGCAGATCGAGTTAATAATAATAAAATAATCGCACCTTAAAACATCTCAAAGTGCTTCACAGAGCATAGTGTAGAGTGGTGTGACTGTGTTGTAGTTTATGATCTTAAGGAGAAAATAAAAACATCATGGCCAAGGGGACAAGAAAGTAAAACACCTAACTAGAGTTAAAGCAAGTGAGTTACTGGCAGCAGCCACTTGAGTAGTACTTCACAGGTTACAATTACGTTGAGCCAGTTTTGCATGAAGCTGCACAGAAATACCATGCTGAACAACTGAAATGAACAGTGTAAACAATAATAATAATCCCTGCATTTGATATAATGCCTTTTCACGTCTTCTAGATGACTGAAAGTGCTTCACAGAATATACTGTATGTTTTGTGGGCGAAACGCAGCAGACAATTGCGCACAGTAGAGTCCTACAAACAATCGTGGATTAAGTGACCAAATTATTATTTTTTTTAATTTTGAAGGATTTATTACCCCCAGAAAAGCGATCGACCAATCGACTAACAACCGGGTTCCTACCTACTGCTAGGTAAACAGAGGAATGTGGAGTAAAGAAACTTGTCCAACGTTTCGCCCTACTGGGAATCAAGCCCACGGCCTCTCACTTGTGAGGCGAATGCTTTAACCACTAAGCTACAGTACTCCACAATAATAATATTACAGGACAGTAATAATAATAATCCTTGCATTTGATATAGTGTCTTATCACATCTTTGAGGTGTCTCAAAGCAAACACGGATCAATGCTTTCAGTTGCACCACAAGGATAGTAGAACAAAAGGTTTAGATTTGCAAAGAGCAATTGTAGGACACATACCAGTAAGATTTTTTTATTCAGAGGGTAATCAACCACTGGAACAGGTTACCAGGAAAGGTGGTTGAGGCCAGGACGCTGGACTAATTTAGAAAGCAGCTTGATGCTGTGATTGGGGGATGGTATGGTGGGCGTTCTGGAGGGATGAGCAAGCTAAATCAGATAAGTCGAAAGGTGTTCTTTATCCAAACCAATCTTGTGATTTTCTGTGCGATGGTCAGAAGTGAAGTCGGGTTTGAGCTGATTACCTGGATGTTGGTTGCTTTAGCTCCCCTCATTTGAAGTATAATGCCCACATTTTGGATTTTTCAGGTGAGTAAATGTCAGAATCCACATCCCGACACACCACTTTAAAAAGACAAGTTATAGCAAAGCGCATTATAATGGAGTTCACCTGTATTGTGCTGAAGTTGAAAGAGGAGTGAGATTCACACCATAGCTAGTGTTTTACTGTTCATACAATGACCAAATAATCAGAAAAATGCAATGTTTCATAATAGGTTTAATAGTTGTCAAATCTGTTCTGAAACATTACATTTTCCTCTCCATTAAATTATCAGTGTTATAACAAATCGTAAAACATCAATAAATGAACAAAGAAATGTGCACTGCAAATCATATGATGACACTTTATCTTTACCTTTGTAGTAGGAAACCTGATTATAGAATCACAAGATAAATATTTTTATCAGAATGACAAACAAGGTAGCAGTTTACTTTGAAAGAAAACTTTTATATCAAAATCACATCTAAAAATATTTGCAAAACTACAGCAGTTTATAACAGAATATGCTCAAAAATACCTTGCAGGTTGGAAATTTAAAGCATCACAGAAAGGACAACACAAAGAGCATGTACATACTTGTAGGAATGAATTAGGATATTCCACTGAACATGTCATCTTTTGCAACTACTGTATTATCGGAACTTTAACAAGAAAATAATCCTAAATTTAAAAAAAAAATTCAATAATACAAATCGCTAATCATTAATGATTGTTCTATCCAACTATGGCTAATATATTTGCCTAATTGTATAAAGATTGATTCTGAGTAAATAAAGCCAGTGATTTGGTAACTAACTGCTGCCAGTTAAACAGAATAGCAGTAGTTAAAATAACAAGCAGTCTGTCCAGATCATAACGTCTCAATTTTGTTTTTTGCTTTCTGCTGAGAAGCTAATGTCTAGTTCACTCCATTATTCTACGAGTTGAAATAATGATCTCCAAATCTGACAGTGGATTTGCTGTGTCGTTTTGTATAATTCCATATGTTGGGTCACACAGTAAAAACATCTGTAAGAGTCTCTTGTGAAAATAATTTGCACGCAGCTGATGCAGTATTGTAGCCAAGCAACCCATTATGACGCATTGCTTGTTTCCTGGTTTTCTGGAGGTTTGGGTGGTGGTTCTGATGCAGGAGCTTTCCCTTCTGTTCCTTCACCTGGGATTGAAAAACAAGAATCAAATAATTAGGAATTTGATCGGAAACCATTACTTATTTCTGAATGTCTTTCTCATATTTATTGGATAATGGTCAATTCGACACTTTAAAAGTGGTTGAGAGAAGTTACCCAACAATACTCGTAAATGATTGAAATGACCCAATACTGTTGTGGTCTGCCTTCTGCTGATCATTAGTAGTCAAGCAATCATTTGCTGTGTCTTCATAAAAACTACTTCTTAGTATTTGAGGATGACAGACCTACTAGAGTGGGCGTAAATGAGCTCTACCTACATCACTGTTATATGGCCCCAGGCAAAATATACCTCCAAAGTAAACAGTACTTTCTCATGGGGAACCACTGTAAGTTGCAGAATCAAGCAAAATCTCACAATGCTGCATGACATACAGTTGTTTCCATGTAGAGAACACAGCTGCTGAAAGACATGGCTTTGCTAGAGAGCATTTAGCAGTGACCAGATAAAGCACTTTTTTTTCTTTAAGACTCCAATGTCCTATTTGTTTTAATTAATCTCAGCCAAGGCACTAAAATGTCTCAGGATCCCAGGATGATGGGGGGGAAAAAAATCAACTACCTTTTCTTCTCCTGTTCATTCTCTAGTGATTCACCAATGTATGTCACAGATGGGGACAGAATGTGGGCTTGGCCAGTTCCACTTCCCTAACTAAATGGCCTGCTGACAAATCTTCATGTTGTTGAATCTGAAAATCTTCCAGATAATTGGTCATTCGCTGTGGGTAAATTTGCCACATTTTCCTACAGATATAGTCACTTACAGTTCACAGCAATTTCATGTGAAGCACTTTGAAATATTTTGACATCATACGCAACAGCAGCAACAACAACAACTTGCACTTATATAGCGCCCTCCACACAGGGTAGAGTCTCAGAGCACTTAATAGTAGTGGAGCCTGACTCTGAGCCGGGGGGCAGTGGGGGAGGTAGCCATAAGCATGGTCGAAAAGTAAGATATTCAGGCGGGACTTGAAAAGGGGACAGAGGGGACAAGGCGGAGGGTTTGAGGGAGAACGCTCCAAAGTTTTAGGGCATAGTGGCTTGAAAGCTTGACCTCCGATAGTGGGGTGGAGGGTATGAGGGACGAGCAGGAGGCCGGTGCCAGTCGAGCAGAAGTATCGAATGGTGGATTGGGGAGTGAGGAGATCAGAGAGGTAGGGAGGTGCCAGGGAGTGAATGGATTTGAACATGAGTGTGAGGATCTTGAAGTCAATCCGTTTGGTAATGGGGAACTAGTGGAGCCTGGCCGGAACTGGTGAGATGTGGGTACGGAGTTTGGACCGGGTCAATATGGGGGTGGCAGAGTTCTGAATGAGCTGGATCTTTTGAATGGTAGAGCTGAGGTTTCAGGTTTCGAGGGTTTCGACTGCATTTGCGGTAACGTACAGTCGGAGGCGGGCAATATGGCAGAGGTGGAAGAAGGCAGTCCTGGTCAGAACTGTATCAACTGCGAGGATTATCGTTATTAAACAGGTAAGTTAAGGACAATATAGCACTAGGCAGTGACTTTACCAACTGAGATGTCAGAAAAGAGAGATGAATGAATTTTGTTTCTGGTTATTCAAAAAAAAACTCTCTCTTTCTCTCCTTTTAGGTTATGCTTCCTTTTGCAGAAAGGTTGGGTAGCCAGACTTGCTCTCGAGCCTCTCCATTCCAAGTGCAAACTGAACCGCTGAGAGATTTGTGGAAAATGGTCTGAAGCAAGTCTTTTCCCTCCCTATCCCCTGCACATGACTTGCAGGGGCTGTCCATCATTCACCAGCTCCTTCTTATAGTATGACCAAGATTAGTAACTTACATCCTCACACTTTACTCAGATCTCTATTCTGATACAACATCAACCTTGCTGCCTTCTCAAAGTTTATATTTAAGAGTAAATAAAATCACATAACTGAACAGTTTCCGTGCCTCATTGGCAACAGTTAGTAGGTTGTGGGTTGAATTATTTTAGTGAAACTCTTGACTTGCCTTTTCAACACACTATGTAGGAAAATACAATACTGTACTTTTTACATTACCTTCTTGGCTGGAATCGGTGCTCAAGGATAGTTGAGAGAGTTTATGTGATAGATCGACTGAGCTGCTTCCTGTGGAAGAGATGTCAGGTAAGGCGTTTCTGCGGCCTGCCCGTTCTGATGCTGCAAAATCGGTGACAACAGCCTCCACATCAGTCATTTCTGAGTTGTCTCCTCATAGCAACAGCTGTAAAGGAAAGAGTCATTTGTAAGGAGGTTTCTTTCAGGCAAGTTGTCAACTATAGGAAAAAGGGAGAGAATAAAGATTACACAATAGTAAGGACAATATGGCATAAGGTAGTGACTTTGAAGGTTTTGGCCCCCTTTTTCATCTCACCCTTCCAGCTTAGCCACCCTTCTCATTACATTTCTGTACCATTTCAAAACTTCATTCTTTATGTTAATGAAATGAAAATTATTTTTACAATTGCCTTTGGTGCACAACACGACACCATACAACATATAGAACTGTATCGAGGGAGGGCTTTGCACATGTTCAAAATGCTCAGCTAATATTTTCCACTGTTTGACTTTGTGCTGCAACGTCCAAAACAATTTGTGACCAAAAATATGAAAATATTAGTTTTATTATTGATGCCATGAGATCATCTCCAGACCTATAGGAGGGAGTTATCAAACTTTTCATGCAATGACTGAATAGATTTGTAGAATAAAACATGATTATTCCCAGTTCCCCATTATAAAGAACAACAGCAGTATGTTGGAAAACTCATATTAGCACATTTACAACATGAATCCACCACCCTCTAACAGATTCTTATTCTAACCAGCAGAGGTCTCTGATCATTGCTAGAACAAATGTAGGTTATAGCTTTCAATACATTAATCCCACGTAACAAAAGATTTCTATCTGTAGTAATCGCTAGTCGCAGTGTTTGAAGCTATACTTCTGAAGGGCTTTGATATAAGAGGTAGAATTATTGATGTTATTGATGTTTCACAGGAAGGAACAACATGTTTAGCCCATCAAGACTGCACTGATGTTTTTCTCCACATGAAGTCACCTAATCTGATCCCAATCTTCTGATCACTCTCTATGCCATTTAATAAATATAAGATTTGAAGATTATAAATAGGATTGAATAAATAAACTCAGACCAATAGTTTTGGATGCACTAAGACAACAGATCAAGAGGACATAGGTTTAGGGTTGCAAAGGCAATTTTAGGACAGACACCAAGATGTACTTTACTCAGAGGATAAACAACCGGGAAGGGTGGTTGATGCCAGGACCCTGGGCTTATTTAAATTAACTTTTAATCCTCTTTCAAAATATACAGATTCTACTTTAAAAATGGTTTGAGGCAAAGAATGCAATATTTCAGTTTTCCTCAGTGTGAAGTTTTTTTATATAACCTTCCCTTTAATTCTTTTGTGCAATTCTCCTATATTTGATACTGACAAGCTGACTAGAGCAAAATAATCTTCCTTAAAATAATTGTCTTTAATATTCCAGTAAAAAAAAAGTTCTCTTAAAAACACATATAGCTGCATCGTTTAAAAAAAAATCTCTAAATATAACAGGCATAACAGAAGGTCATAAATTCTGGGAGATCACTCTCACATTTCAGAGTTATGCAATGTAACTATCACAGGGACAGTTGAAATGCCCTGAATATTAACTGGTGCATATTTTGAAGTCCCAAGATATAGTAACCATGTATTTCAAGTACTAATTTTAGAGAGTTACTTAATACGGAAAAAACATACAATTACCACATCTCCAGATCATCCCATTTTTACAATGTCTGTTAGACAAATTCTACAGCAGGTCTCAGCTTCATGCATGAATTGCAAAAATGAGAAACAAGCAATCATCTTTTATACAAACCTGAAATAAGGTTGATGAGGAGCAGTTTTACAGCAATGTGGATCATAAAATGCTTTTCATGTAAAAGAGTGTCTCAAAGTGATTGATAAATGAGCAGAAAATCTAAATTTTAAGAGTTAAAATGTTGACATCAACTTGCATTTTTTATATGGCACCCTTCACACAGAATAATGTCTCAATGTTTTGCAAGGATGGGTCAGACCATGAATGTAGGAGACAGGGAGAAAAAAGATGACTGTAAATGTGGTCAAAGGGGTAAGTCTTTAGGCTGGATTTAAAGACAAAGAGAGAGGTAAGAGGGAGCGAGTTCCAGAGGTTAGGAACATAGTGTCTGAAATCTGGGCTGCCTAGGTAACATGAAGAGGATGGGGGACACACAGCAGCCCCGAGTTAGCCGAGGGGAGGGAGCTGAACAGACGTAAAATAAAGTGGTATGTTTTTGGATGTTTATGAGGGTTGGTACAGAGCTAGAAAGGCAAAATGGTTTTCGAAGGGAGTTCTAGGATGCAGCAATAAGGTGGCTGAAAACTGGTCAAATATAGTAGAAAAATAAGTTTGGAGCAAGCAGAAAAACAGAATCATTAATTCTTAGGGTACAGGCTGGATAAGATTGCATATGTAGAGTGAAAATACACCATGGGGTGATTTGAAGATCAGGACCATGATCTTAAACGTGTTCCTCTTAAGTACTCAGAGACAATAGGGCTTGGTGAGGATGTAGATAACAGGTGCGCAGAACGTTGAACAGAAGTTGGGCTGCTGAGTTCTGGATCAGTTGATGTTTCTGGAGAGAGGAATCAGAAAGCCTAGGAGGATAACATTCAAAAATCTTAACTTCAATATTTAAAATAATCCCTCCAAAAAACAAAACAATAATAAAATTGGTCATTTTCAATCCATGATTGTTTGTGGGACATTGCTGTGCGTAATTGGCTGCCGCGTTCGCCCACAAATATACAGTCAATTCACTTTACAGTGTGTTCTGTGAAGCGCTTTGGGACGTCCTCCCAACGTGAAAAGCGCTATATCAAATGCAAGGATTATTATTATTATTATTAAAATAATCGTTCATATCGTGACCAGAACTAGATACAGGCTTCTAAATACCAAAGCTATAGAGCAGGTTACTTCTGTGGAATTGTACCCTGTATCTATTAATACACATTTGGGTCAACTGTCACATGCAAGTAATTGTACTGTTCTCGTCCTTATAGGTGTAATCCTTACTTAGCAGCCAGTTACTATTTTTAATACCTATATGTCCTACTTCACAATTACTAACAATGAGATTTGCCACTTTTCAGCTCAGATGAATGGCTCTCCTTTTCTCTCTCTCACTCAGTTGGATATTTTACTTTCCCACACAGATTAGTGTCATGTGGAAGCAAAGACATGCATTTACAATACGGTTATAGAAGCTGTTAATAAATATTATGAATAGCAGGGGGCCTTGAGAAGATTCCCATATCATTCCGCTTATGACTGTTTCCTGGCTTCAGTTACTCTAATTCATGACTATTCTCTGGCTTTTATTGTGAAACCAGATTTCTTCATAGTTTGCAATTTCACTACTGATTTCCCCAAGCCTTCAGCTTTTCTGGAAATCTTTTGTGACCTTGTCAAGTGCTTTTTGAAAGTTCGTACAAAGCAGTGTTGTCAACGGGCTTGTTCTGTGTATTGTATCAATCCACTCAGAGATAAATTACACTTAATGTTGCACCAATAAATCTTCTCTGATGCTTTCAATTCTTTCACCTCAAATTGCTCTCACCACAAAGCTGTAACCACCAGGTCTACACTCTGGTGGACATTCGCACAGACACAATCTACAGTATAAAAAGTTCCTTGTTCTGCTTTATTTTCTGCCTTGCTCTTCCCAGTCCCGATGCCATACATCAATGGAATTTCTTTCACCCAATTCTGCCACAAAATAAATTCTAACAGATCTGATGGTTGTGGTCTGCTTTAACCATATTATCTCTCATTTATTACCTCTTTCATCATGGACTCGGGTATTGCTGGCATCAAGGTAACAACAACAATTTACATTTATATAGTATATAGCACCTTTCACATTTGGAGGACATCTTAAAGCTTCACACAACTTACTAGGAATCCGTGCCGTGGGTCGGGGAGCTGAGGAAGACGGGAGTGAGGGGGGGTGCGGGGGAGAGAAAAGGTGACCAAAAGCCTAATTGAAAACAAAGGTCTTAAGATAAGCTTTAAAGGTAAGGAGGGAGGGGGCGAGGCAAAGGGACTCCAGGACTCCCCAAGAGTCAGAGGCAGAGGAGGCCGAGCGGATCTGTTTGATTTTGGATCCCAAGCAATTCATCATCTCCTTGCATTTGAAGTTGGAGTTGAGGATGAAGGGGGATAGGAAGGTAGGTGAAGAATAATGGATGGTGGGGGAATAGAAATATAAGGTTGTCTTCTATGTACAGGATGATCCTGAAGTAAAAGGCAAATTTAGCAGAGCTGATGGTGCAATGGTAGACTTTGGTCATTGCGCATAGTAGTGTCCCACAAAATAACAATACTAATCCTTGTATTTGATTTAGTGTATTATCACGTTTTTGAGACATCTCAAAGTGCTGCACAGAATATACTGTAAAGTGTAGTCACTGTACATTTTATGGGTGAAACATGGCAGCAAGTTGCGCACAGCAGTGTCCAGTGTCCCATAGACTATATTATGCTGTATAGTTGTAGCACTGTAAATGCAGGATGTGCAAATTAATTCAGACTGTTCAAGAATTGATCCAATGGATCCCATTCCCCAAGAACTTTTCAGGGGCATTGCATAATATTATTAAAGAGCTTGTCTCATGGACTGTCATGGCTGGTCAGCGTGGTTTAAAATACAATACAAAATTACATTTGTATAGCACCTTTCACGTCGGAAGGACGTTCCAAGGCACTGGACAGTCAGGAATTTGGACCTGAGAAGGGGGTTGGGGTTTCTGTAAGGGAGGGTGAATGGCAGGGAGGGTAGGAGGGTGGCTAAAGGCACGGTCAAAGAGGAGGGTCTTGAGACATGCCTTGAAGGAGGCAAGGGAGGGAGCGAGACAAAGGGAATGTGGGATGGAGTTCCAAAGATTGGGGACAGAGAGGCTGAAGGTTGGGCGGGGGTTGTGGAGCAGGTTGGAGTTTGCTGAGCAGAGGGAGCAAACAGGTTGATAATGGGGTTAGCAGATCACTGAGGTAGGAAGGGGCAAGACATTGAGGACAGCCAAAGAGTATGGCTTCCAATTCAGTCTTCAGGGTGACTGAAACATTATGAGCAAGTTGGTCCCGAGATAAGAATGATGTGTATATATACATATACTATTGCTATG